TGTGCTTGCTTTGCTTGCTTTGCTTGCTTTGCTTTGCTTTGCTTGCTTTGTACTTTGTGCTTTGCTTGCTTTGCTTTAGCTGTCTTCTGTGCTTTGCTTTTGCTTGCTTTAAGTGCTTGCTTTGCTTGCTTCTTGCTTTGCTTGCTTTGTCTTTGCTTGCTTTGCTTGCTTTGCTTGCTTTGCTTGCTTTGTCTTTCTTGCTTTGCTTGCTTTGCTGCTTTGCTTGCTACTTGCTTTTACTTTGCTTGCTTGCTTTGCTTTGCTTTGCTTGCTTTACTTCTTGCTTTGCTTGCTTTCTTGCTTTACTTGCTTCCTTGCTTGCTTTGCTTGCTTTGCTTGCTTTGTTTGCTTTTAGCTTTGCTTTGCTTGCTTTGCTTGCTTTGTACTTTGCTTGCTTTATTGCTTTGTACTTTGCTTGCTTTCTTGCTTTGCTTTGTACTTCTTGCTTTACTTGCTTTGCTTGCTTTGCTTTACTTGCTTTGCTTGCTTTGCTTGCTTTGCTTAGCTTTTGCTTTGACTTTCTTGCTTTGCTTAGCTTTTTACTTTGCTTGCTTTGCTTACTTTGCTTGCTTTCTTGCTTCCTTGCTGCTTGCTTTGCTTGCTTTGCTTGCTTTAGCCTTTGTCTTTGCTTTGTTGCTTTGTACTTTACTGCTTTGCTTGCTTTATGCTTGCTTTGCTAGCTTTGCTTGCTTTGCTTTGCTTTGCTTTACTTCTTGCTTTGTTTACTTTGCTTTGCTTCCTTGCTTTGTGCTTTGTGCTTTGTTGCTTTACTTGCTTTGTTGCTTGCTTTACTTGCTTTTGTGTACTCTTGCTTTGCTTGCTGCTTACTTCTTGCTTTGCTTGCTTCTTGCTTGCTTGCTTTGCTTGCTTTGCTTGCTTTCTTGCTTTGCTTCTTTGCTTGCTTTTTGCTTGCTTTGTACTTTTTACTTTGCTTGCTTTAGCTGTACTCTTGCTTTATTGCTTTGCTTTGTACTTTGCTTGCTTTGCTTGCTTTGCTTGCTTTTGCTTTGCTTGCTTTGCTTGCTTTGCTTGCTTTGCTTGCTTTCTGCTTGCTTTACTTGCTTTGCTTGTACTTGCTTTGTACTTCTTGCTTTGCTTGCTTTTGCTTGCTTTGCTTCTTTGCTTCTTGCTTTGCTTGCTTCTTTGCTTTGCTTGCTTTGTAGCTGCTTGCTTTGCTTGCTTTGCTTTTTGCTTTGCTTGCTTTACTTGCTTTACTTACTTTGCTTACTTTATTTGCTTTACTTACTTTGCTTTTTACTTACTTTACTTACTTACTTATCTCCTTACTTTCTACTTCCCTTTACTTACTTTGCTTACTTTACTTGCTTACTTACTTTGATTGCTTTTTACTTACTTTGCTTACTTTACTTACTTTACTTTACTTTGCTTGCTTTGCTTGCTTTACTTGCTTTACTTACTTTGCTTACTTTACTTCTTTACTTGCTTTACTTACTTTGCTTAACTTTACTTGCTTTACTTGCTTTACTTGCTTTTCTTACTTTATCTTTTTTACTTTACTTACTTTTTACTTACTTTACTTACTTTACTTCTTGCTTTACTTACTTTGCTTATTTTTACTTACTTTTTACTTACTTTACTTACTTTACTTACTTTACTTACTTTACTTACTTTACTTACTTTTTACTTACTTTACTTACTTTTACTTGCTTTGCTTACTTTACTTTTTTTTGCTTACTTTACTTACTTTCTTACTTTTTACTTGCTTTGCTTACTTTACTTACTTTTTTTACTTGCTTTTACTTACTTACTTACTTTACTTACTTTACTTACTTTACTTGCTTTGCTTACTTACTTACTTTACTTACTTTACTTACTTTACTTGCTTTATTTACTTTATTTACTTTACTTGCTTTACTTACTTTACTTGCTTTACTTTGCTTTGCTTGCTTTCTTACTTTACTTACTTTACTTACTTTACTTGCTTTGCTTACTTTGCTTACTTTACTTACTTTACTTACTTTTACTTGCTTTACTTGCTTTGCTTACTTTGCTTACTTTACTTTACTTTACTTGCTTTACTTACTTTACTTACTTTTTACTTTGTGCTTTGCTTACTTTACTTGCTTTACTTGCTTTACTTACTTTACTTACTTACTTTACTTACTTTACTTACTTTTTACTTTACTTACTTTACTTACTTTACTTGCTTTACTTACTCTTACTTTACTTACTTTCCTTACTTTACTTGCTTTGTACTTTACTTACTTACTTTACTTACTTTACTTACTTTGCTTACTTTACTTACTTTACTTACTTTACTTACTTTACTTACTTTACTTACTTTTACTTTACTTACTTTACTTACTTTACTTACTTTACTTACTTTACTTACTTTACTTACTTTACTTACTTTTACTTACTTTACTTACTTTACTTACTTTACTTACTTTACTTACTTTACTTTACTTACTTTACTTACGACTTGCTATAAAATCATGCTGAATGTTGTTTATGTATTTTTATACCCTTGCAGAGGGTATTATAAGTTTAGTCAGAAGTTTGCAACTCAGTAAAGGAGACATCTCCGACTCTATAAAGTATATATATTCTTGATCAGCATCACTAGGAGAGTCGATCTAGCCATGTCCGTCTGTCCGATTCTACGCAAACTAGTGCCTCAGTTTTAAAGCTATCTGCATGAAACTTTCCCAAAAGTTGTATTTCTATTGCAGGTGGTATATAAGTCGTAACGAGCCGGATCGGACGACAATAGCATATAGCTCCCATAGGAAAAATAGAAAAAAAAAAAAAAAAAAATAAAAAAAATATAGCTTAGCTGTTTATACCCTTGCAGAGGATATTATATACTTTATACCCTTGCAGAGGGTATTATAATTTCAGTCAGAAGTATGCAACGCAGTGAAGGAGACATCTCCGACCCTATAAAGTATATATATTCTTGATCTGCATCACTAGGGAGAGTCGATCTAGCCATGTCCGTCTGTCCGTCCGTTTCTACGCAAACTAGTCTCTCAGCCTTAAAGATATCTGCATGAAACTTTTCCAAAAGTAGTCTTTCTATTGCAGGTAGTATATAAGTCGAAACGAGCCGGATCGGACGGTTATAGCATATATATATATATATATAAATAAATATATAAATGTTGCTATTTTTTCATCTTTTTTAGTTCTTCGACTTATAGCAATGGTTAAATAGTTCAGAATTATGGTATAGCTCCCATGGGAACAATCAAAATATTAAAAAAGATGTATTTCTAATTTGACTATTTATTTTGTAATTTTTTTTTAGAAATTCTTTTTGATTAATTAATAATTTAACAGTTCAAAATTACGCTTTTAATTTTATTAAAATCGGAAAACGATATCATGTAACTGTCATAGGAACTATCAAATACACAGCTTCAAGTGCAAGGGTATATAAACTTCGGCCAAAGTTTACATCCTTTCATGTTTTTAGAATAGTTTATAAATATAACTAATTTTTGCTTTGTGCTAACGCAAAAGAACTGATTCCCAATTAACAGAGGAAATATCACTTCCGATAGAACAAAGGCAGTTTTCACTAAAAATTAATTTTTTTCGCGGATGGCCCAAAACTATAAAAGTCTAAAGACATTAGCAACGACCTATGATGAATATCCCAGTTGTTAATAGATAAATTACATTCAATTAAGGAAAAAATTTATATATATTTATGTTATGTATAGTATTGACTCCTAAATAGATCATCGATAAAAAGTATCTTATTTGGTTATTGTTAGTTACTTGGCAATAAGGAATGAGCGTCAGGATGCCTAGCCCAAACAAGAGAGGCCAGGTTAAAGTCACCAATAACGTTGAGTTGCTTTTTAAGCCACATTCTCCAGATGGGCCTTGTAAAGGTACTAATAGGCGGTTTATAAGACACCACAATTAGCAGCGTATCCGCTAGTCCAGTAACCGAAACAGAAACTTGATTAGGAAGGGTATCTTCATTGAGAAGGCGGATTGACAAACACCTAAAACGTCGGCGAACAGGAACAATTAAAACTCCTTCTCTAGCGCAACGTTTTTTTGTGGGATGGTTACGAACAACTTGATACATGTTGAAGTCGAAGTACTCATTTTGAGCCAGGTTTCACCTATAACTATAACATGAAAGTAGCATTGAGATGGGGCAATGCATACTTGTCCCGTTTTTGTCCGCATTCCAGAGATATTTTGAAAACATATATGAAGTTGGGATGTGCTTCATATAATATCGCCACCAGCTGATTCGTTTTCAAGCTTTGGTATGTATTTAAATGCATGCAAAATAACAGCACAAACCGTTCTGAATGCTTTAGTCCCGCAGATCGTCTTTAGTAGCTTCGTGACTTTGATCCATTGTGTATCATCAGAATGGGGCACGCTGCATTCGCCAAATACATCAGATTCTTTTAACAAAGAGAAGTCAGAAGTTAGGAGCAATTGCTGATAAAAAAGGAGTATGATCAGTGTACAAAGTCAAAATTGTTTTTCTCAGCAAGTTGTCTATTCCTGTAAACGAATCTGCTGACTTTGACTGCATCTTGCCAGAATTCATCGTAAAACACAGATAGCGTTGCTCAGGCACTCCTAGTTTAAAATTTAAGAACATCAAAGTTTACATTTCGCACAATGCCTCTGGTTTGGTGTTTACTGCAAGTATGCCACTATGCAAGCATTTGTGGCTTGGTAGAACTTCAAATTGATCACAACTGGGGGCCAAACCAACGATGTACCTCTTGTTCCTATCATTTTTTCTGTGATTCCTGGTGAGAGCAGCTGCTTGAGCGGTGGGTAACGGAACAGCTTGGTTTGCAGGCTTTACTAATTTTTTGCCCTGACTGATGTCTGATCCGTGTGTATTAGCTTCCATTACAACGATCGTAAAACTCCTTGACATGGCTTCATTGTTGTTATTTGCTAATTATGTGGGAGCAAAAATGAAAACGTTTATTTTACAAACTTATCAAAATCTATCATATGTTTTATTAAATCTGTATTGTATTTTTTAGATTGTTGCGAGAAGAGGAGTCGCTTGATAATATCAAGCAGTTTTATGTAAAATGTAAAAACGAGGAAGGGAAATATAACGCTATTCAAAATATCTACGGTTGCATAAGCATTGGCCAAGCTATTATATTTTGTCATGTAAGTATAAAGCTACGTATTTAAAAATCGACACATACTGATTATATCCAGCTTTTCTGTTCTAATATCTATAGAAAAATTATTTATAATATTTGTAATAATCATCTGGTTTGAAATACATTTATTTTTAATTTTTGAAGCACTATTATTTAATATTAGTATGTTAATATTAATATAAAAAAAAAACATTAATAAAAATATATATAAATTAAATTAAATAAAATTTGAAGTAACTTTTATTTTGAAAGCAAAATTTTTTTTTTATTTAGGATTTGTTCTATGGGACAATCACTAAATTTTATAAATCAAAATTAGTATATTAACAATATTCATAATGCTTCATAAGTTATTAATTATTATTATTAATTATTAAAATTATTAATTTTAATTCGGAGACAAAAATTGCAAAATAATAATTTGTTTAAGCAATATACATTTTATTTTGGGAGCAATATGAACATGACACAGAATGAAGTGAGTCACGGAGCAGATAAAAAGATGACTGTCAAATACCGTGTTTTTCTATAGCTTGTCCAAAAAAAACAATGGAAGAATCTGGGACTTATACTGAATTCCGATTCGTTGTTATCTTCCCAATCTGTATACACTTAATTTTATGTTTATCATAAAATTTTGCGCGCTGGCATGCATGGCTTTCCAATTTCTACTTTTCTCACTCTTGAGTTGACAATCGCTCTAACTCTGTTGCTTGCTTGGATATCGGTCTACTGGTAAACTTCTATAAACTAATTTTATAGTTCTTCTGTATGTACGGAGGTTTGATAACAACATTAAACTGTCATTTGTGTGCCTGTTTGACCTTAATAGTGTTTTTACTTTAGGTTCGACAATAATACTTGATCTAAAAAATCCGTTTCGATTATTAAATCTGTGTAAGGAAATTTGGCATAAATTTCCTTCAAGAAACGAATGGCACGAATAGTAAAATTCACAGCGCCTGTACAATGCTGAGCCTTACCCGATTGGATTCCTTAGAGCGTGTGCAAATCTCTCAAGCAATTGGGACACAGCTTATAGTTGATAGCTAACTCCTTTTGGTTTATTGAATTATTGAAGTCTGACTGTTAGCGTGAAGGCTGCTGGGTAATCTTGTGTTGAGCCAATAATCATTGACTGGTCTCTTATTTCCAAGACGGCCGCATCTGTATACGTTTACGGTGCTTGACAGAGATCGTTTATCTTTTCCCTATTTCTTGTGCAACGGTGTACAACCACATTACTCGGTGCGCAAATACGATTCGTTGGTTGTTGGACCGTTTGAGCTAGCATGCGTTCTGGAAATTGGCGTTTGTCAGCGGGATCTGTTATATACCACAATTCTTAACTGCGGAATCCTTTGAAATGCGGAAAGATGAATTATGCAAATACGTTGTAGTATCCAGACCAAAATTTTAGCAATGTTATTTTTGACAGATCGGTGGAGTCTTTATTGAAAATATTTCTCCGTATTCTGAAAGATTGTGTCCTTCTGTGTTTTCACTTGAACTTGGGTCTTAGAGACTTATGCCGCAGGTCCTTTTACAGCCATCCAGGCTGATTTTTTTTTTCAAAGAATTGAGTTCTATTGCGCGATTTTAGTTCCGTTCTAAATACATTAATGGGAGTGTTTATTTTCAAGTACTACTATCAAAACATCGGCCCACTTGGAAGATATTTCAAAGGTTCAATTTATGAACCGTTTTGGATTTTTAATTTCACAACAACATTGAAGAAAATTGAGACGAAAAATTGTCAATATTTAAATTACCGCTATTATTAAATGTGTATCTTAAATCTAAACTTCATGAATTTACATTCTGCGCTTCCACATTCCGGCCACCTTGAAGGACCTGCCTTCAATATACTGGAAGTACAGCATGCTTTTGAATTGGACGCTGTTGCGGTCTTGATTTCGGCCACTCGACTTTTGACAGCGGCCCCTGCCACTACGCTGACGACCCTGCTGGGGTGGACTGTTGTCCTCGTGGATGATAACCAAGGCTCCGACCTCCAGTATGTGCTGTGAACGTATTCCTTTGACCATGCCGCCCAGAAGCGCTATCTGAGCGTGGATAGCAGTTGCCACCTATTGAAGAAGCTCAAAGATCTTGCGTCTGCCTCTAATCCTTGCGGCAGCGAACAAAGGGCCTGATTAGCAGGTGCCCTATAGTGAACACCACTCCCACGTCAGAGGCCAAGGATTCAGCACGGCCTCGGTGTCTGCCAGATACTTCCTGCCCTCGGCTGTACACCACGTCTTGCGATGAAGCTTTTAGAGGCCAAAAAAGATTTACTCGAACAAGCTTTGGAAGAAAAATAGACAAATACAGGAATATACATCTTAATGCGGGACCGTGCTCGAATACAGAACGAGACTTTTATAGGACTTAACAAATTTACGCCACGAATATGAAATTGCCTTATGGATTCGAACCTATCGTCAAGCAGATTCCCCATTATTTGGATCACCAGAACAGGTTTATATCTAAAACAATGGATATACCTTCTCACCACCCGAGTGCATTCTCTGCGCGCATTTATTAACCAGATTTACTGCCGATGAAGACCTATCATTGTTTTTGCGTTTGCGTGACAATTTCTAAAATGCAAATTTCGGAGATACAAATCAACAATTTGGGTTTTACAAGGGAGTAATATTGGAAATTAAGCATTTTCTTAAATAGATGCATTCGGAAGTCTGCTTCTACCCGAAAAGGCGATAATCTTCTACCAGCTTTAGAACACTTATTTCGCCAACAGAACAATCTTTAACTGGCTACTCATTTAAGACTTAACTAGGACTTAACATCAACAACATCATTAATAGTAGAAAAATAATAGAAAAATGCAATCCTAACGGAATCTCGGGGAGCTCGGATCCAGGCGCATGTGAGGTAATACTCACACTCGTTGCGACCACCAAAAAAAAACGCGTTTCGAGATAAACGCGTTTAAAGTTTGAGTACGGGAAACACATGCCTTAGTCGAAAGAAAATCATCGTACCTCTAATCAGCAATGCCTGCTCCATACAATACAAAATTTTCACTTCTCTCTTCGCGACAAGTTTTTTTCGAAATTAAAATGCAGGGACGACGAATGTCAAAGTTATGAAACTGAGAAAACGCTATGACAAGGCGGCCGACTCAACGCGCCAATTGTGCGATTCGAGCGCTCGCGGCCTTGCGGCGAAATTCATTTTTCGGCCACTTCTGTTACCGTCTGCGGTTAAAAAGGGTTTCTAACTTACTTCTAAGGGCATATAGTGACTGAAAATGAAAAAAAAAGAAATCGATTTTTTGAAAATTCTAAACCTGAAAACTTAAGAAAACTAAGCATAATAAATTCAAACGGAGTTGATAGCTCGACGGCTATACACGTTTGAGCGGCTCTTTTCAACTCTGAGTTTTTTAATCCGGAACTTTTCATATACAAATTTCGGGCCTTCGAACCAATGGGCTCAATAAGTTCACTTACATCGCAGCCACTGGACGCAATGTATGGTGGATTAAACTGTCGCCATTATATATTTTCTGATAGCTCTTGAATTGTGGCTACCTGATTTGAAACAAACACTGCAACTGACGAAGGAAGAGACTTTATCCAATGTAGCGTAATTTCTGAGTCTGTCAAAAAATAAACGCTCTCGATTTTACATTTGTTAAAATCTTGTTTGATGAAGGATCAAAATTGTGCCAAAAAAGTGCGGCGCATAGTTCAAGTCATGGTATGTTTTTTGTTTTTAGTGGACCTGACCGTTTTCGGTCGCTTGAAAATAGAGGCAGTTTCAGTAAGTTTGGCTGGATGCATCCGCAAATCCGTGAACTTTGAACGGCTCAGCACCCACTGGCTAACATGTACCTAGAATGGTGACTGTGTGAAAATTAAGTAGATTCTTCTTAAGCCTTTCCCAACTCGGATGTAACGACATCGAAATCGATTCTTCCCATTCAAGTTGACGTTTCCAATGTTATGAAGAATAATCTTCGACGTTAGGCCACTAGGACGGCAATCCCAAGGGATCAAAAAGACGCGCGCTAACTTAAAGAATTGTGCGTTTTGTAAGAGTCAACTCGGTAAAACTCTCATCTGAATGAAATTGAAATGTGACTGTGTATGACATCCACAGCATACCCAAGGCTTTGGTCAAAAATTAGAGATTTTTCAGTGTTGTTATGGATGGTTTGAAAACCAATTAGACAGCTGGAAACTGCCACTATTAAGAATTTCAGACACTTGATTACACATCACGTTCAAGGTGTCAATATCATGTCGTCCACATATAAATCGTTGCAAATTATGTACGAACTAATTTCATATTTTTCCATGTAACGAACACCAAGATCTTGTAAGCGACGAATAGCTAAAAGTGATTGGTGGGGCCCACTATTCAGAGGGAACTGTTATTATCTTTAGTTCAATTTTGTTTAAATAGATTCGCCTTAAGGGCAGATATAACAAAAATATATAGGCAAGTAAGTCTAGCAGAAGAGGATCGTAACTATCAACTTATAGTATCTGATAAGCTACACATTTTTCGCCTAAATACAAAAAAATTTCTATTTTCTGGGACGGTATCTTACTCCCAAAGCCATTTAACCAGTCCTACTAATCTCATATGTTCCTTTGACAAGGCGATTCATCAAGTAGCTTCTTTTTGTTGTTGCTTACACCGTCCAGAAATAACCCATCCCAAGAGCGTTTTTTGTAGCAAAGGACCTTCATTGACCACTACACAACAAATCTTGTGGAATTCTGTCTTCCACAATTCTGACGTAAGAATATGTCCATTGGGCCGCGCTTCTGGTAATTGAACTTGTTTCTCCTACTGATGTGATAGTAAGGCACTTATTTGTTTTTGTCATTCTTAATAACTGAGCAAGGCTTTCTGTCATAAAGTTAACTTGCGACACCGAATCTAATAAAGCCCTGGCCCGATGGAGTTGACCAAATCGATCGCATACATTTACAACGCCTGTTGCTGGAATTACTTACTTAATTA